TTTTGGAAGTCGAATTTCCCAGAGGAACCCACCCGAGGGATTAATAAAGTTCTATCTTATCTTATCTTATCTGCTTGCAGGACCCACTGCAAACAGATACTTGTTGGGCTACAAGTAGCCCAACTCCTGGAGTTGAAAAACTGGGGGGGAAAAAAAATATGAAAAACCATTTCTGTTTTGGGGGTTGTCTCATTCTTGCCATTCTAGTGCAAATGTTGTTCATTTTCAAAGCATCTGGGAACCCCCTGCTACTTAACTGACTACATCAATATTTCAGAAATTTAACTGACTTGAATACTATGATGAGCTGTGTATTCCTTTTTCAAAGAAAATCTTATTTGTCTTAGTTTTTATAAAATCTACTTCGCAGTGAAGTATAAGTTACTTTTCATGTATATTAAATATTCATCAAACTTTTTGTGTGTGTGTTTCTTTTTTTTGGTAGAAATTAAATACTCCACCAATCTTGAAGGCCCCAAAAGAAAGGAAGCCCAGCAAGAAGGAAGGAGGCACCCAAGGGAAGGCATCTAGTCTGCCAGCGATCCTCTACAGGTAAACACACAATAGCTTTGAGTCATGATGGAGCGAGAAAGGCAAAGGTTAATGAAATGGGTAAAATGTTAGGACGAGGATTGTTTTTTATCCGTCTTCTTCAGTGCTTTGAAGTAGGAGAATTTATCTGAATCTAATGCATTTAACTCAAATAAGTATTTGATACTTGTTCTTGTCATTCTGCCTATGGGCACCGCAGTCATTTTTTATTTTTATTTTTTTGTTCAGTCTTAAAGCTTTAATTCAAGGAGTTAACAAAAGCATTGCATTAATTGGTTTGGAATTGGAGCCATTTTCACTCCTTAGCCATAAAAGGCTAATGAGGTATTGTCGTCACCCTGCCAAGTAGGTGAGCAGGCGGGCAGTGTGGACACCCAAGTTTGCCTCATTCTTGAGTTATCGCATTCACAATCTATAATTTTAAAATTAATATCTACTACTAAAGATTTTGTATGAGTTTGGATTTCAGCGACCTCGACTTTATGATTAAGATGAGAGGTCAGGTTTTCTGAAAATATTGTGATTGCGATAACTCCAGAAGGAAGTTACCTAGAATTTTCAAACTTGTACCATAGGTACAACTGCTAGGAGACTGAGGGGTAAAACTGGCGGCTGCCATTTTCATGTATTCTCAGTCCATATTTTCAATGGCTAAAAATGCAACAGTTGTCTGACAAGCAATTTCATGGTCAGATGAGATCTGTTCCCTGATTATCCACTGACTGATTATGCAAGAAAAACATCTTAAGCCGCTTCCAAGTGTAAGTTGTTCATTTAGTAGCTGTTCCTTGAAAAACCCAGTTTCAGGTCTGAAGACATGTTAATGCAAGTGAAGAAGGACATCATTCTGTTTTAAACCCAAAATCACATTTCTATAAAATACCAAAGATAACAGTCTGACAGACTTCTATAATATAAAACTTCACAGTGATTCCCGAAGAGCTTGAGCTGACAACATGGGATATCTCAGTGTGGATGAAGTGTGCTCATACAATATTTGAGGAAATTGGAGTAGTGCATGTGGAAGTGATGGGTCTAAAAGCTACCTGTAGCTGATAAACAACGTCTGTGAAAGTCTTTAAGAAATGGGAAACAAAAACCTGACATAGGACCCGACAGAAGCATCTGGCCCTTCAGCTGATCCATCAGCTGTTTACTGAAGCCTAATAAGAAAAGGTCTCACTTGATGGGTGTCTGTCAAGAAGCCCTTCTTAAGGAAGGGAAATGGGGAAATGAGGTTACACTTAAATAGCATAACTGGACTGAAAATCCGTGGCAACTGGTGTTACGGAGTGATGAATCAAATTGTTTTCAATATGTACAGAGGAGATCAAAAGCGCGATACATCAGTGAGCATCATCTGTAAAACACGGAGGCTCTTTCCCTCTTTCCTATTGGAATTCATTATACAGTTAGAGAAATTTTGTTATAAAACAAAAATAAAACAAAAAGCAACAACCTTTTCTCATGCTCATTATTTCTCATACTCACTGAAACCTGATGTATTTCTGCAGCTGCGGAATTTGTAAAAAAAACCAGGACCAACATCTGCTTGTACTGTGTGACACATGCAAGCTCTACTACCACCTGGGCTGCCTGGAGCCACCACTAACACGAATGCCCAAGAAGACCAAGAACAGCTATTGGTAAGTTGGGTTTAAGTGGACCCTGAGGCTCTCCCCTAAACACCATGAAAAGTGATCTAATTTGAGCAGCTGACAGCATCCGTTGTTGTGAGTCATATGAGATAAAACTGGCACAAAACAGTCATTAGTGAAAGTCACACATCAACCCCATTTCTCATTTCCTTAAGTGCAATTCAGTTCATTCAATTTTATTTATATAGCACACAACAACAGCTGCCTCAAGCAGCTTTATATTAAAAAGAAGAGTAAAGATCCTACAATAATTCAGAGAAAGCAGAGAGAACCACAATCATATGACCCCCCCCTATGAACAAGCAGTTTGGCCACAGTGGGAAGGTAAAAACTCCCTTTTAACAGGGAGAAACCTCCAGCAGAACCAGGCTCAGGGAGGGGCAGCCATCTGCAGCGACTGGTTGGAGGTGAGGGGAAGAAGACAGGACAAAGACAAGCTGTGGAAGAGAGCCGGAGATTTATAATAACCAGAAGCGGCAAATTTACTGAGACTCTTTACTTAAGCAAAAGTACAAAAATCTGTGTTAAAAAATACTAAACTTTTTTTACTCAGTTAAAAGTGAAAAAGTAAATGGTCTGAAAGTAAAAAAGTAAAAAGTAGCTCTTTGAATGACAATTCTACCTATTCTGTTTTTATGCAAAAGCAATGTAATCTTCTGCAGTATTCATATTTTCGTATTTAACTTTTGAATTAATACTAGTACATTAGAATACAAATGTTATTCAAATCCACATTCTAATTTTAATGTACTCAGCTTGATTCTATTATGTAGAAAACAATGAGTAAAATAATTTTAAAAAATAGCTATTTTCTGTTGCCTACGTTGTAGAGTGTTAGTTTGTCTCCACATCTGAACAGTCAGGGGTTAAAATGACATTCAGCAGGTGGGAAACTAACATCGGTTGTAATGGCTCAGCTTGGAGAAAAGAAGCACCACTCGCAATAATTTTTAATGTGAGCGGGGCAGATTCTTACTGTACAGGCAGATGACCTGCTGCTCTTTTTTTGATTTCCGCAAATGAATTCAACGAGATGTAAGCAGATGTTTCAGAGCTGTCTCAGCTGATTTCCATTTCCTACACTAACAGGGAACTGTATATTGTGTTTATGCTAGCCAGGGGTAGGCAACCTTTTTGATGACGAGTGCCATCTAAAATTTCCTCAGAAGTCAATGTGCCATATAATTGCATTAGCAATAAATTTAATAACGCTCTATATTAACAGTTGCTGTGCTGAGTGGACAGCTCCTGAAGGGTCGGAATGTGGAAATTTCAGCATTGCTTGAAAAAAATGACTGCTAGCAACGTCCCTCTCACCAGTAGACTAAGTGATTTTTAGCCAATTACAAGTTGAATCTGGTAGTTGGGGTTGTTAGCTAAGATACCATCATTAAGAAGCAGCACAACTAATGTGTCTATGCGAGCTAATTTGCGATGTGCACCGCATTGTCTGTTTGTAAACACAATCAACTAATCGTTACATTAAAGACTGAAGATTTAGGTGTATGATTAAAAAAGAAAAAAATTTATTCAATTAAATGAGTCAAGTCGTTTTCAATTTCCTTAGGCAATGCTCTGAGTGTGACCAAGCCAGCAGCGATGAAGCTGATATTGCCATGGAGACGTTACCAGATGGCACCAAGAGGTCCAGGAGGCAGATCAAAGGACCGATCAAATTCATCCCACAGGAGATGTCACCAGAGCCCAAGAAACATCAAGTAAGAGGCACTGTGTGTACTGACACACTGGAACCAGCTCATATTAGCTAAAATGTGTGAAAGGTTTGCATGCTCTATTGTTCCTCCACTCTAATTACAGTGTATCTCATGTTGTCACTGGCTAACTGACACATTCATATTGATTACAAATAATTAACTTGCGTTCCCATTAGTTCCCTCTTCTTCTAAGGTTATCAGTACGTTGCACACGGTGATCTCACCCATGCAATATAAACAGTGTTACTGCATACAAAAAACACACAGGCGTTCTCCTGGTGGAACTCAAAATAATAAAAGAGAAGAAAATGAAATTGAATCAAAAAGTTGTTCCTTTTTGATTCACTGTGTTTGATGAGAAACAAGAGTAGGAAGGTACAAACCCAGTTTGAACAGACTAAACAGATGGGCTTCATAGAGACATGTTTTAAAAGCAGTAGGTCTGTGCTGTTACTCATTAAAATCCTCAGTCTCAGTAATTCTGATCTCTAGCAAAGATAACATTGTTTATGTGTTTTGTGGTTATAAATAGGAATTTAAAAACCAGCATGTCGGCTCAGAAGTACAGTGAGTAATCCAAAGAAACAGAATGTTAAACACTTTTGACTAGGGATGGGTACCGGTGTCCGGTGCCATGATGGCACCAGTTCTGACATAAACGGTAGTAACCAGACCGAAAAGCAGCGCACATTTCGGTGCTTTATTTCGGTGCTTTTTTTTCCTGAGCTGTGATACACTTCTAGCCAATCATTTTACGTTTCCGAGGATAGTAGGCGGGGCCAGGTACGTACGTTCTGTTAGAGCAGAGCTACAA